CACACACAGTTTTGTATACAGATTCTGTACAAGTTTAAAAGACTTCCTTAAATTATAATAACATCCTTATGGAGAATAAAAACTTGGTTCTATATTGTTTAGAAAGTGATTATGGTACACTGAAAGTCTAAAAGCTGGAATTTTATTGGGAAAGAGGTAAGTTTAGATCTCTTTGACCTAATATTTTGGAAGCTATATAAATCATGCTTAATTTTTTCTATACCTTATATATATATTCCAAACTCTTAATGTCATTATTCATAAAATAATGAGTTAGTAAAAAGAATTAATGCATTCCCAGGATATAATAAGAACTCAGTATTCAAAATGACAAGGCTCTTCATATATAATTTTTGTCTCTATTTTATATCTGTCTCTAGGCTTATATTTCATAGATAAATCTATGAATAAGTTTAGCTATCCAATTTGCAAAAGAATCCTAAACAGATTGGTTCAATGAAATAAGCATCTATTTTTAATTTTTAAAGTAATGAATTTTCTCTCACATTTTACTACATTGATGTGTTATTTGTAACATGCCAGAATTAAATAAATGTGGATTCACATGTTTCTTTATCCCTTCTTTTCCATATTTACTGCTTTTTTACTGTTGTCTTTTTTTTAATGTACTTCTTTTTTCTGTCACATTTTATCTACTTTCTTAGCTTTTATACTTCACTTTCTTCCAAATATACATCCTTTCACTGCTTGTTAACTGCACCCACATGCAGTTTTCCTCTTTTTCTCTGAAATACATGCTCTTTTCCCCCTGAAATGTGTGTGTGTTAACTTTTGAGTTACAGTGACTAATGTGCTATTAATTTACTTAATCTAAAAGGTATTTTTAAAGTTCTCATTATAGAGCTTCCTCTTCTGATACCATAGAGGAAGGCAGCAGAAATTTCTAGATCTGAAATAGTTTCCTTTGACTATGTTTACTAGCTATTTTCTAAATATTAAAAAAATTTTCTTTCTATTTTACATTATATAGTGGGAAGAGATTGGCGAAGTTGATGAAAATTATGCCCCTATCCACACATACCAAGTATGCAAAGTTATGGAACAGAATCAGAATAACTGGCTTTTGACCAGTTGGATTTCCAATGAAGGTGCTTCCAGAATCTTTATAGAACTCAAGTTTACTCTGCGTGACTGCAACAGTCTTCCTGGAGGATTGGGAACCTGTAAGGAAACCTTTAACATGTATTACTTTGAGTCGGATGATGAGAATGGGAGAAACATCAAGGAAAACCAGTACATCAAAATTGATACCATTGCTGCTGATGAAAGCTTTACAGAGCTTGATCTTGGTGACCGCGTTATGAAACTGAATACAGAGGTCAGAGATGTAGGACCTCTAAGCAAGAAAGGATTTTATCTTGCCTTTCAAGATGTGGGTGCTTGCATTGCTCTGGTTTCTGTGCGTGTGTACTATAAAAAATGCCCTTCTGTGGTACGTCACTTGGCTGTGTTCCCTGACACAATCACTGGAGCTGACTCCTCGCAGTTGCTCGAAGTGTCAGGTTCCTGTGTCAACCATTCTGTGACAGACGAACCACCCAAAATGCACTGCAGCGCTGAAGGGGAGTGGCTGGTGCCCATCGGGAAATGCATGTGCAAGGCAGGATATGAGGAGAAAAATGGCACCTGTCAAGGTAAGAATTTGCCTGCAGATCTGCAGGAACTGTCTGCACCAGCTGGATCACGTATATGTATTTCCTCCAATGATTATGAACAGATGACCTTTTACTTTGCTAATTTATGGAGATTATTTCTCTTCAAGTTTGATTTCTCTCTTCTCAGAATTTTAAAATTTCTGGCAACGATCAAAGATTTAATGTAATATTTTACTGAATATACATAATTAATACACACAGAGTGTCTTACTTGCAGTGTAGTATTTCATATTCATTTTACTTTCAGAAGTTTTATCTTGAGCAACTCAAACCAAAGGATTATTTCTTAGTGTGAGTATTGTCTGCTACAAAGTATTGTCTCTCCATGAAGAGAAAATAGTAACCTTACCTTGCTATGTAAAATTCAACTGCAAGTGTTAGATGTGACTTGTTTGGCATGCTTTTAACTGCCTTTAAAAAGTTCTTCAGAAATAAGTTCAGCCATATGAACCCCATACGAAAATGCTGGTCAGCATGTTGTTCACATATAATTGTTATTACAAGTTCGCTTTTAAAAATTTGCAAGTCAGGGGTGCCTGGATGGCTCAGTCGGTTAAGTGTCCAGCTGAGGCTCAGGTCACGATCTCACAGTCCATGGGTTCAAACCCATGTGGGGCTCTGTGCTGACAGCTCAGAGCCTGGAGCCTACTTCGGATTCTATGTCTCCCTCGTTCTCTGCCCCTCTCCTGCTCGTGCTCTCTCTCTCTCTCTCAAAAATAAATAAACATTAAAAAATTTTAAAAAATTTACAAGTCAATATTGAATGCATAATAAGTAGTACCTGAGAAAATAACTTTGGAGATGGAGCCAACACAAAACGCTTATTTCAAATCAATTTATACTTGGGGAATTTTTTTTCTGTTTTATTTTCTTAATTGAAATGTGATCATGTATGCTGTCCCCTTCATTTGAAAATATCCTTCTTTTGCCCACAATGTGGTGAGTTAAACTTAGATGTTTGTCAATGGCTTTGGGGAACAGGGTTGTACTTTATGTCAAAGTGAAGAACAGTTTATGAGGAAGAAAACATTTTTACTTAAAAAAAATTCATTCATCATTATGAACTTTTTTCTACCATGCTGTGCACATGCTAAATAGGTAATGAGACTTATTAACTGAAGAGAAAACCAAATGCCGAGAAGTACCCTTATCCCGCCTGGTAGCTTCAAGTACATTTTTTTTTTTTCAAAATCCACTATATAATGTGAATCAGACTTGCTCAAGTTTGTTCAGGCCTGACTGTAAATTGATTATAGATCCAGGGGATCAAAACTAGGGAAATTACCTGTAAATCATAGTGATTTTGATTAATTATTTCTCTCTAGAAACACACTGCAGCATTAAAAAATTTTTGTTTTCAGGGCACCTGGGTGGTGCAGTTGATGAAAGCATCCGAATTTGACTCAGGTCATGATCCCATGGTTCATGAGCTTGCACCCTGCTCCGGGCTCTGCACTCTCTCTCCTGCTCTCTCTGCACCTTGTGGGATTCTCTTTCTCTCTCTCTCTCTCTCTCTCTCTGTCTCTCTTCCTCGCTCACTTGCACTCTCTCTCTCAAAAATAAATAAATGAAAACTTCTTTTTCCTCATCAGCTCATATTCTGTATGCCTACAATATCATCTACAATTAAGTTTATGGTGTCTACAACTCTCTATACCTTTATATATGTACATACATAGATGCGAAGTTTTATTAAATCACAATTATGTTTTGGAAATCATTTTTAACTTTCCAGGGAAGTTAATTATATTTTATTTGGGGTTAGATGTGAAGGAAAGTTCTAACTAACATTATCTTAACTTTTCTTTTGAACAGCTCTCTGAGTGTAACGTGAAGATATATGTAATTGTAGAATCAAAGCAGGAGATTAGGCATAATCTGTTGAATACATTTCATTTTTTTGTTTAAAATATTTATAATATAAATCTTACATTTTTAAAATTTCATTTTCTAATATTACAAAGCAACACGCTATATTTGATTGTTTATGTCACTTTAGAGAATGGTATGTGGTCAGTTCAGCGCAGAACACAGTGACCTTTGTCTTCATCCAGATGGACCGAGGGTATAAAAGACCTCTGCCTTTTTAGAAGCTAATTATTTATTTCTCTGGGATTAAAACGTTCTCTGCATGCTTGTCATGAAAGTATCTTGGGAAGTAGTGTTCTGACAGAATGTTTCTCAATCCAGGAGTTCAATGCATATCTTTCTCTTCCCACACTCAGTTAGAAACCTAACTGAGAGACAGTGGGGTAAATCAGAGAGGCTAGCTACATTGTAGAAAACTTCACTAGGCTGGCCTGTCTAAACTCATTTATTATCTTACCCTGGTAATAGGAACATTGTGGGGTCATGAAAATAGTGAACTACCCAGCCCCAGAGGGTGTTCTACACAACATAGTCCGTTTGAATAGTGCCTCTTGGTGTTTTCCAAAATACAGATGGCATGTGGCCACTCTATGAGGAGTTTCAAATGTTTACCCTATAAATAACCTACTTCATTGAATGAACAAATAAGTTTTGAATGCTTATTTTGGAGAATTAAGGTATCACAGATATTCCTGAGACATTTATATCTACACGTAATAAGAATATGCAAATGTAAATGTCCCTGTGTGTGGCATATAAAATTCCATCATAACTTTAAATAATTCTGTGATCTTAATATGCTATCTTCAAACCATTAAATGTGGATCTTGATGTTTTAAAACTATTCTTGTTAGGGCAGAAATCTAGGGAGCATTCCTAACATCTCCTTCCTACTCGCTACCTGGGTCCTATTTATCACAAAATATTCATAGAAATCACCTCCAGGCTGTCTCTTAAAATCATCCACTTTTCTCTATTTCTTTTCCTCCAATCTATAAGTATGTCTTGTTGGAACTTTACTTTCAAATATAAGGAATGACTTTATATAATAGTTTGATTTTTGAGCCATGTGAGTGTATCACCTCTACAAAAATGCAAATCTAGTGGTTTCGCACACCCATCCTTCGCTGTCCCCACTTAACCCCACCACAAACTTCAAATACTTCAATGGTTGCCTATTAAGGTAAAGTTTTTCCAGTAACTTAAGATCCTGCATGGTTTTGCCCCAGACACTTCTTAAACTATGCTTCCTCCTCTTCTCTCTGCACTAGTCACACTGGCTTCTTTTTTTCACCTTCTCAAGAGCAGTTTGCTGACTTATACTACTTGTTCTATGAATCTGTTCTCTTGCCCTGAAACATTCTTGTATCTACTTCACGCCTGATTAACTCATACTAATCCTTCAGGGGTGTCCTCCGACACCCCTTCCTCAGGGAAACTATCCCTGACTCTTCAAAGTTAGGCTTCTCTGTTATTTACTTCTATATCTTCCCTTCATTGAACCATTTAGAGTTATGATATTGCATCTTTTGTTAATTTATTATTTCATTAATGACTGTCTTTACTCCCACTAGATCACACACTCCTTGATGGCAGGGATGCTGAAGGTTATCTTAAGAAATAAGAAAGAAACCGTAAGTCGAGAGGTAGAGAAGTAAATTCAGGAGAAAATAGAACGGGCAAAGGTATAAAAGAAGATTGTGCTTTAAAATTATACTACTGCTCCTTTATCTGAGGAGGTTACGTTCCAGGACCCTCAGGGATGGCTGAAATTGCATATATACCAAACCCTATATATACTATGCTTTTTCCTATGATAAAGTCTAATGTTTAAATGAGGCACAGTAAGAGACTAACCACAACTAATAATAACATGTAACACTATAATAATATACTGTAATAAGTTATGTGAATGAGATGTCTCTCTTAAAATATCTTGTACTTTACTCACCCTTCTTGTGAGGATGTGAGATGATAAAATGCCTACATGAGGAGATGAAGTGAGGGGAATGATGTAGGCACTGTGATCTATCATTAGGCTACTACTGAACTTCTGACAGTATGTCAGGAGAATCATCTGAGTCTGGACTGTGGTTGACTGCATGTAACTGAAAACACCGAAAACAAAAGAGTGGATAAAGGCAAACTACTATATTGGTTTCTTTTTTTTTTAATGTTTATTTATTTATTTTGAGAGAGAGAGCATAAGCGGGGAGGGAAAGAAAGAGAGAGAGAGAGAGAGAGAGAGAGAGAGAATCCCAAGCAGTCCCCGCACTTAGTGCATAGCCCCTCATGGGGGTCGAACCCATGTCTGCAAGATCATGATCCAAGGTGAAATCAAGAGTTGGACGCTCAACCAACTGAGTCTCCAGGTACCCCGTATTGATTTCCTTTTTTTTTTAACCTTTGTATTTATTTGTAGAAAGTCTCTTCAGTCACAAAATTGACAAAGTGTCTCTTAAACCAGTCATTTCTTAGTCCTAAGATCATCAGGCCAAATGTTCAAGTTCTGTGTGTCAAACCATATATGGTTGGCATATGACATATTAACTGTGATAGAGACCATCTTAGTGATTTAGACCTTAGAAATCACATCCTGAAATGTATTTATAATATACACTTATTATACACTTACATTTAATTACTGTTTCTTTGCTAATCAAAATATATTGGGATTTAATTAAGGATATAACTATATTAAGAAGCTGAAGCGTGAATAAATCTGTTGTAATGATCATCATATGTTAATATTTACTAAGCCTGTACTAGGATATGACCAGGTAGTTGCTCATGTGACCTGGTATAGAGATGCAGGGCATGATGGAGTTGACACAACTAGTTTTAGAGACTAAACAATCAGGACTCAGAATGCTAGGAAGCTCATTAACATATGATTTCAATCCAGAAGGCAACCAAGAAGTAATTCAGGAATCTCTGTCTGTTTAACAACTCATGCTGAATCATCTTCTTATCCCTTTATTTAATTTCCTTTAAGAGAAATTAACTACCTTTCCCATAATACCCTGCTTTTAATGAGGTAACAAAAACTCTTGTTTCTATTGTATTAATTTAAAATATAGAATCTATTTATTTTTCTAAGGCTTACTTCT